TCATCATTGATCCAGTTGACTTGTCTTTAGCAGGTTGATATTCTTTCCTAAAAAAATAATTTATAATAAATTTGTGTCAAAAATCAAAGTTTACCTGCAAAACTTACACATCATTTTTTGAGTTTCGTTATTCAAAATGAAATATTGATGAACTGGTGATGAACATTTGTGAGCTCTACAAGAGGCTGTAGCACTTTCATTGAGAGTGATATTTTCAGGAGCTTCAAGATTGTTACTATTAACACTTAGACTTCTTGACATACCAACGAACAACTAAAAAATTGATAGTGATAGTACTTTACGTTAACTAAACCAAGTTATACCCTGATACACCTATTCTAATTTAGTAAAATAATCTACTAAAAACACCAAAAACTTGTTTTTCACGCATAACATAATATTCACTAATGCTAACGAGCCAAGAAACAAAACATAGCAGTAGATAATGTTTGAATATCTCACTGTTAAAGATAAATGTATTTTATTTATTCATTAATCATATCAATAGGTAAAAATAAAGAGATCATTCATTACGTGGTAGTGTAACCAACTTTCTTTTATTACGCAATTGTATTATACAGTTATATTACCAACTTCTTTCTTTTATTACACAGTCATATTACCAACCTCTTTTTTTTTGTTATGCAATCGTATTACCAATATCTTTCTTTTATTACATGATCATATTGCCAACTTCTTTCTTTTGTTACGTGATCATATTACCAACTTCTTTCTTTCATTATGCGATCATGTCACCAACTTCTTTCTTTTATTACACAATTATGTTACTAACTTCTTTCTTTCTCTACACGGTTATATTACCAACTTCTTTCTTTTGTTATGCGATCATGTTATCTTTGTTATGTGATCATGTTACTAACTTCTTTCTTTCCCTACGCAGTCGTATTATCAACTTCTTTCTTTCATTACGTAGTTATTGATTACACCTTCAATGGTACTAGAAAACTTTAACAATAAGAATTCATGCAAATTCAATATCAATCTGTGGTCTCTTAACCAAAATTCCCTGCATAAAATTTCATCCAATCAAAATTTTTGGGTTGACCCAAACTGGTCGGGTTATATCAGTTCAGGTCCAAGTACAACTCGATCTGGACCTGGATCCAACCCAGTATTTTTCAGATTGAAAAAATCGTGACCCGAACCAGGATTTTTGGGTCAGATCCGGGTCGGGTTTCAGATTGACCCGAACTGGTTGGAGCATTAATCAATAGTTAGATGAGTATTAGTAATTTCAATAATAATTCAAAGTATATCTGCTATAAAACAAAAAAATTATTCCAGAAACTTTTCTGAAATATTTAATTGGCTATCCTATAGAAAATCTATAATGTATAGTCAAGAGAATGTAGAAGATTTATTAACAAGTTAACTCTAATTAACAAGATCAATGAATATGATATCTTATATTTTAACAAGTTCTAATGAACTATATGTGATCACTTCTTGTTTAATAAAGTTTTATAATATTTACTTTTTAGTAAAAATATTTATACATTTTATAAAACACAAATATTTGATAATTTTAGATATTATACATCATACAAACTCAAATAGAATAAAATTTAATCTGTAAATATGCTTAAAAAACATCTATTCTATTATATTACACATTAAATTTTGTATTTACTTCTTTGTAAAGATATTTATACATTTTGTAAATACAAATATTTGATAATTTTAGATATTACGCATTATATAATTAATTATTATAATTAGCAATTAATTATTTCACAAAAAAATAAGTTTTTTCTTATTATTATAATTTAACAATTAATTATTCTGATAATTCTGTTATTTATAATTATCTGTTGAGTTCTTTTAATATAAATCTTTAATATATCAACATAAATAACAATTCTTAGAGTAGATTCATACAAGATATTGAAATTAGAAAGATTTAATAAACATATACTTACAAGTAATATTCACACAATTGATAGTTAATAGCAAATTAAAGATATAATAAATCGAATTAAGCAAATATTTGAGTTATAATGAATAGAAGCAATTGTAAAAATCTATTAGTGAAAAATATAGATGGATTAGCAAGATATAATTGAAAAGTTTGTTAATAATCACATATTATGTATGAGAAAACTATCTTTTCACCCATTAGTAGCAAAATTTATTATTGCTAATAATTTTTTATTAAGTTAATTTATATAACGTGATATTTATTTTATCAACTAAAAAATATTTTTAAGATCAATTTAATCGATTTATTATTTGACAGTGATTAAAAGTATATTTATCATATTAGAGATCAGTTTAGTTACTTTTTATGAGCTAAGTATACTTATATTCAAAAGGACCATTTGAAATTGCACTTAATTATTCAATTTTTATTTCATAATCTAAGTTCATTTACAAATATACTACAATTAAATACTAGTAAATAGTTTTGCACATTAGTAATTAAGAAGCTTATATAGATATATCCATCTATAAAAATTATAAATAGATGACTATATTATTTATAATTACAAGACTTAGTTGAGCAGACCAATAAAAAGAAGATACTGGATGAAATGATTAATCTTTCAGGCTTTGATTCATTATAATTTTCATGAATAATAGTTTTTGTCATTTACATAAAAAAATATTATACAAGCTAGTATATGACAATACAATATGCTAAAATATAGAAAATAATAAGAACTTTCAATATTTCCTTAAATTAATCAATCTTTTATTGATATTATCGTTCAACTTGTGAATATTACTGAATATGAATTTTGCACCAAACAGCTTGTCAAATATACTGAAAAAATGGCAAACCAGATATCCAATAATTATCAGAATTATGATTTGGTTCGAGTTGCTGATCCCAAATTCAATAGATGTAGTGTTAACCGACCAACACTTCCATGCAAATTATTAGCTATAAATAAAAATAATTACTACCAATTGGAAAAATTTGGTATTGTCAATGTTTATTACTGTGCTGGTGAACTCAAATCTCTGGATACTATTGATGTTCCTGAACTCAATACTATTTCATCTAATGAAATATCATTCAGAGAAGCAGTACAGCTTCAAAGTGTAGGTCCATTATGTGCGATTTGTAATTGTAAGAAGAATTGCAGTGATAATAGATGTCATTGTAAAAGGAGCAATAGTAAGTGTGGTAATTGATATCATGATGGATGATCATGCCAGAACAAAGCATCTTAAATATGGCTGGCTTCAAGGATAAATTAGGATCTCGCAGTATGTGATGCAGCATATTAATTTGATTATTAGGTGCAATGACTCGTTCATTTGAAATATTGAAGAAAGTACATTTTTATAATCCATAAATGTTAGACTTGTTTATTATAGAAAAAAACGCAATTAGTGATTTTTATATGTAACAAAAAAATTAGTTTAATAAAAGAAACAAGCATTTTATACACTCCATAATCCGACGCACCTCATTCGACGAAAATTTTCATTTTTTATATCGATATGTTTTGTTATACATGTATAATTTTGTTACTTTTTGGGGTACTGTACATCGACATGTACATGTACGTGGATTTAAAAGTTTTTCATTTACACGATTGTCTCACACAAAAAGTGTCCGGTGACTTTTGTCCGCCAAGTGTACACGTAGACTGTACAACAGGGTGAATTTGACAAATCAATATCGAGATCGTTATAAAAAGGAAGATTTGCATTGTGCCATAAATTTGTTCTGTACTCTTGAATTTGATTGATTAATAAATCATAAACCGCACACCCTTAAATCAACCAATCAGACTACACCCAATTTTATCTGTCAAACGCTATCCTAATATAGGCTTCTTTTAACATTAATAATCAAATGCATCTCTTTTGTTTTTACTATCATTTCAAAGTTTTTATTAAATCTCACACACATAGTAAAAATGAGATATAACATTTCGAATAATCATGATTGTATTCATTGCATTTATTGTCAAGAAAATACATTCTGCTATCAGTGTTCAAAATATCACTATCAACTTTATAAAGCTAAATGGTCTAGTGCAAATAAAGACGTTGACAGACTAATAAAAGACTGTGCAAAAATTAGAACTTTTGGATGGGTCCCTTTTGAAAGATTTACCAATGTTGAATATCTTGTAAACGAAGAGTTTGGAACAATTTATAAAGCATCGCTGCACAAACCAATAAACCAATTTAACAAGTGGAATCATCATAAAAACAAATTTGAACGAAATCATGAATCTCAACGCGAAGTTGTGTTGAAATTATTATGTAATTCAACGCAAATTACTTTAGAGTTTATTAAAGAGGTAAAAATAAAACATTTTTAAAGTATATGCGTGTTGCTTTTTATTTTCTAATACAATTAATTTTTCGAAACTAGATTCAGACTACTCTAAAGAGTACGAAGACTGATGATAAAATAAATTATTATGGAATAACTAAAAACCCAGCTACAAATGAATACTTGATGGTGATGGATTATGCAAGAAATGACGTTCGACGCAAATATATTAGCTTCATCTACGAAAAATTAACTTCGAAGAAAAATTAGCGTTAATACTTTTATCTTCTATATTTATCTCTTGGAATATACTATTTATCTTCTATATTTATCTCTTAGTATATACTATTTATCTTCTATATTTATCTCTTAGTATATACTATTTATCTTCTATATTTATCTCGTAGTATATACTATTTGTTTTCTATTATTTCTTTATAAGGATATACTAGTCTGTTTTATAACAAACTTTATTAGGTCTCCAATCTGGTTTCATATAGAGATATAGCTGTAGCATTTTGATTTATTTACCAATATATCACGTATATTTTATAGCGATGTTTCAGAATTTCAAATTTACAAAAAGATTTTCGAAAATCGATTTTTTACAAATTGGATATCAGAATAATTGAAATGCTAATTTCTATCTATGAAAAATCAATTGAAGCAAAATCAGAAAAGTCAAAAGTTGGCATGCTTCCAATCATTAAATTGTCTCTAGATATGAACCAGTGACCGTCAAATGTACAAAAAATAAAATCGTAAATTCAATAACATTACATACAAACATTTGTTTACCCAATGTTGCAAAACATGTAAATATAATTCTTTATTTAGTTAATAATCATTAAATTGAAATAATAAGGATCGATGCAATTTTACATGATGCGTTTTTTTTGACTGTTTATGATGCAAATAATTTAAAACCGATATTTAAATAACTAACGACCAAAAATTTACGAAATTTAAATAAAATATTCTTTACCACTCTGTATACCCTCATTTAGCCTCAATTACATCATTTATTCGTTCGGGCATACTTCCAATTAGACTAATTAAAAAGTTATGCTCTGTTTCTATCCATATATTTTGAATAGCTTCCCATAACTCATCTTGAGTACGAACTGGATTTTCTAACCTTCTCAAACGTATATCCATCTCATT